TTGAGTACTTTGAAAAAGTCACAGAATTGAAAGATCAAGGCAACTCAGTGGACATTTTATATCTAGACTTTGCTAAAGCCTTTGACAAAGTGTCACATCGCAAATTGGAAGTGCTTCTTGAGAAACATTGTATTTCAGGACATATAAATGGTTGGATAAAAGAATGGTTGTCTGATAGACAACTAGAAGTTGAGTTAAATGGGGAGTACTCTAACTGGCTACCTGTTACTAGTGGAGTACCACAGGGGTCAGTGCTCGGGCCAACCCTGTTTGTCATCTTTATTAATACTTTAGACATCTATCTTCAAGACTCTCCAGTGTTATTATCTAAATTTGCTGATGATACTAAAGTTGGTATGCCTGTTAACAATGAAACTGATTCTATAGTTCTACAAAATGTTATAAATACTCTCTGTGACTGGTCTGATGATCTGTCAATGAAATTTAATTCTGGAAAGTGTAAAGTGATGCATGTTGGTGGGAGAAATAATCATTTCACCTACACAATGCATGGTTTTGCTCCCGGTGGTACAGTGTTGGAGTCTGTAGATGAGGAGAAGGATGTAGGAGTGAAGATTTCTAATACATTGAAACCTTCAAGTCAATGTCAAGCTGCAGCATTGAAAGCAAACCAACTAGTAGGACAAATGTCTAGATCTTTTACATACCGAGACAAATACAATTGGATAAGACTGTACAAAGTTTGTGAGACCTAATCTAGAATATGCTGTCCAAGCATGGTCACCCTGGAACCAGAAGGATATTGACCTCCTTGAGGATGTCCAGAGAAGAGTTGTGAGAATGACAGCAGGACTGAAGCCAGGAACCTACCAAGACAAGCTGAAAGAGTTAGGCTTACCCTCCCTGGAGGAGAGAAGAAGAAGAGGTGACATGATACAAACCTGGAATATATTGCACCAGCATGATGATGTTTGCGAAAAAACCTGGTTTACTAGGTTAAATTCAGCCTCTACAGTTAGCACAAGGTTGAATTCATCTATATCCAACCTGGAGATGAAGAGAACAAACCTGGACATAAGAAAAAACTTTTTTTCTATTAGAGTTGTTAAAGGCTGGAACCAACTGCCTGAGGCAGTAAAGGGGTCCATGACCCTATATGCTTTTAAAAACAGTTATGATAAGCAAATAAATGCAGCCATGGATCCAGAAGAATAAATGATGATCTGACCCGCTACTTCATTGTTGCATGATGCAGGACCTTGGCGGTGAAACTATCACACTTCACTCTGTATACACTACAAACTGCAAACTCCAAACTGCAAACTCCAAACTGCTCAATCCAAACTGCACACTCCAAACTGCACATTGCAAACTACACAATGAATGCTGCACACTTCACAGTGTACACTGCTAACTAGACACTTTAAGAAAAGAATGTAAATGTAAGTTTAATATATTAGGCCTGGGGGGCTAGGGGGAGTGTCTTCGGGGTACACAGGGTTATCGCCCCCCCTTACGCCACTGGTGGTGGTGGTGGGGGGGGGGGTCAGGTGATCAAATTAAAAAAATCTTTTAATTATTTCAAGATGATTTAGAAAAAATCCTGATTAAAATGTGTGCCCGACTTGGAACGCGTTCATGATTTTTAACATTCTTTTCCAAGCAATTTTCGTTCCATTCCATTCAGTTCTTTTATTAATTGTTCCAGTATTTTTAAGAAAGCGTTCTATGCGTTCGTTCTTTTTTCGGAATGATGGGATCATTCTTGTCAGTTCCGTTCGTTCTCATGAAAGAAGTATCGTTCCTCAGGTCTAATGACGTCCAGCCCTACTAAGTACATATCTCCTCTACAGTAGAGGAGGGAAGTATTTCTTTCTTGATGGAAACTATCTCTTTTTTTTACCGCAACCCTGCAAATCTAATTCATCTTTAAAAATCTCTCCCATTCTATCTGAAAAAAATGGATTCATTATAAAATAAGCAACATATATCATATCATTTAAGGTAATTCTTCAACACAATTGTGAAAGCAATGATTTGTATCCTTTATCCTTACATTTCTTTGGTACTCTATTTTCTTTATTTTCAGATAAGATAGGTATTGGATAGTTGGTATCGATCAGTTCATTTGCAATAGATTTGCTCAGATATTGCCAATCACTTACTTCTCCTCATCTTGGTCAGCATGTACACCTGTTCGAGCTGTGGAGAATAACAGTGTTTTAATTCAGGGAGAAAATGTCTTCTGACTAGCAAACTGAGATATTGATATTTATAATTGAAATATCTGGTCCTAAAATCCAATTAGCCATAAAACCACGGTAAGCCGTTTCCGTTAAACGCGGCACACAATTAAAATTTTATATGCATATATTGTGGTGTTAAAATTGCAACATTTTAGTATACTGTATTTACAGATCTGGTTTATATTTGAAAACAAAATAAGTTTAGAATGTAAATTGTACACATCTTGTGTAAATGAACCAGTACAGTGCACTTTTGGGTTGATTCATTTTTGCTCAACTCAGGGGAGCCAAAAGATGTCTCAATCCTTTATCTTTGAACATGTCTTTTTTGATCATTAATATTTCATTCCTTTATGTTTGCTCTCAACATGTCTCTTTAAACTGGCAACTTGAGATGCAACATACTCACAATTAAAACATGGGAATCTCACTCCTCCATGTTCACTTTCAACATGAACCTTCAGAGCACTTGCTATAGATGCCGCGTGCTCACATTAAGTGGAATAATATCTTATTCATTCATGTTTAATTTCCACATGTTTCTTCAAACCTCGTGAAGAAGTTGCAGTAAATTCACATTGTAAACATGGATATCTCACTCCTTCATGTTTAATTTCAGTATGTCTCTTCAGATAACTTACTGTAGTTGCAACATAATTACATTTAGAGCAAATATATCTCACTCCTTCATGTTTACGTTCAACATGTACCTTCAGAGCACTTGCTGTAGTTGCCGCATACTCACATTTAGAGCAAGGATATCTCACTCCTTTATGTTTATTTTCATCATGTCTCTTAAGATCACCTGCCTGTGTTGCAACATACTCACATTTAGAGCAAGGATACCTCACTCCTTTATGTTTACTATCAACATGTCTTTTTAGATTGTTTGTTGAACTAGCAACATATTCACATTCTAAACAAGAATATCTCTCTCTTTCATGCTTTTTCTCAGCATGCCTCTTCAGATCACGTGCAGCAGTTGTAGAATATTCACATTTTGAGCAAGGATATCTTACTCCTTTATGCTTATTTGCAATATGTTTCTTGAGACTCCTTACACCTGTAGCTACATACTCACACTGATCGCAGGGATATCTCACTCCTTCATGTTTATTTTTATTATGTAACTTCAGATCACCTGCTTGAGTGGCAGCATATTCACAGTGAGAACACGGATATCTCACTCCTTCATGCGCAGATTCAATATGCCTCTTCAGACGACTTGCTGTAGTGGCAGTGTGATCACATTGGTCACATAAATATCTCACTCCTTCATGTTTAGATTTAATGTGTATCTTCAGACTTTGTACACCAGTAAAAACGTATTCACACAGATCACAAGAATACCTCACTCCTTCGTGTTTATTTTTAATATGTCTCTTTAGACTACTTGGTTCAGTGGCAGCGTATTCACATTGATCGCAAGGATATCTCACTCCTTCATGTTTACTTCGAATATGTGTCTTCAAATGAGTTGATTGAGTTGCCACATATAAACATTTTACACAGGGATAATGTTTATCTCTTTTTTCTCTCAGTTTCCTCTTTTTAAGTCTATTTTGTTCAGAGAAAAGGGGATCTACTTCAATCTTGACAACCTCACCTGAAAAATAGAAAAATAGAATAAATAAAATATTAACCTTAAGTATCACAAATGGTCTAAATTTTCAATAGAATCTTAAAATTAACGGGACTGTCCTTGTAATTTCAAGTGACCCTGCATGCCTGATTTTTGCCTTGAGAAATCACAAATAAAATAATTTGTTATTTAAAAACAAAATTATGGATATCTTATTCATAAATAGTCAATCGGACATTTAGGGGTACTCTATAAATTAAGGGTTACTTGAAATAATGTTTAACAGTCCCTTTAATTAGTGAATAAACTATCCCAATAACAAGTTTTTATGAAATTCAAGGTTAGTTTAATAATGCATTGGGATAAAAAGTTTCTTCAAAATACATTGATATGGGTATCAAGAGATTTGTATAAAGTGGTATAAATACATAATTCGATGCAAAACATTGATATGGGTATCAAGAGATTTGTATTAAGTGGTATAAATACATAATTCGATGCAAAACATTGACATGGGTATCAAGAGATTTGTATAAAGTGGTCCACATAATATGGTATCAAGAGATTTGTATAAAGTGTATAAACATAATTCGATGCAAAACGATCCCAAATGTTAATTGATTGATATCAGGGGCATAAATTAAACATGTTATTATTGTAAACAATTAGAGAGATGATGTCAAGTTGTAATAATTTATCTCTTATATTGATTACTGTTATTTACTTTTCTAAAGTGTGATTCACGTACACAAAAATTTGACCTTAGTTCACAATGACACAGAAAGAGTATTTTCAAACCCCTTTGTGTACTTTCAACCCCCGATCCCATTTGGGATCAGAAATTGAATTATTAGGACCAATGATTTGTATAGAACACTGAATTTGGTGATATTGAAACAAATAAGAGGAAAAAGCTGATATTTTATACCATAAACCAAAAATTGGCCGAGTTACAAAAAATCTGTATTTTTGCCATATTGAACTTTTTTAAATATGAAAACAAAAACAAATTAACATTATTCACCGGCTCCAGGTGCATCTCTCTTTACCAAAATTAATATGTTTTAAATTTAAAGAATGTTTTTACAGGTCACTTTTTCGATTTATGAAATGCTAAATATTAAGTGCTGGAAGGCTTTTCAGATTTTATTTAGCGTTATATATATATATATATATATATACCTTGATTTTCTCTACTTTCTTCTTTCACATCTTCTCCCACTCCTTCATGCTTATTTTCAATATGTTTTCTCAGATGCCCTGCTTGAGTGGCAGCGTATTCACAGTGAGAACAAGGATATTTCACTCTTTCGTGTTTAGATTCAATATGGGTCTTCAAATGACTGGATTTAGTTGCCACATAATCACATTTTCCACAGGGATAACTTTTATCTCTTTTATCTCTCACTTTACTCTTTTTAAATCTCTTTTGTTCAGAGAAAAGCGGATCTTCTTCAATCTTGACAATTTCACCTGAAAAATTAAAAAAGAGAATTAATAAGAATTACTAAGATATTAAATTACCCTCAAGTATCTTAAATGGTTTAAAATTTTTAATAATATCTGAAAATGCAGTCAATTTTGTAATAAACACAGTTTTTATATTTATGAGCCCGAAGTTCTAAAAAAAAATCAAAAATAGATCATCCTAACAAAATATTTGCAAAAAATGTTTACCCATACCTTGATTTTCTGTACTTTCCTCTTTTATATCTTCTTCCGCTACATACACAGTTAACGTATCCTCTACAGTAGAGATTTCTTCTTTAATGGTAACTTTATCTTCTTCCATAATTTCTGCTTTTCTCTCTAAAATATGTACATTACATCTCATAATTCAAAGCTAAATAGTCTACTTTTTACATTATAATTTATTTCATTGTTATAATAACAGATTTCACATTACCTGAATCAAATTCCGCATATTCCTCTTTAATGATGAGCTCTGTTTGTATATAAGGATCAAATTCAGGTTTATTTTGTACAGTATCCTGTATTCCACTATTCAATTCACCTTAATACATATTTATACAGGTTATACGGGTCTAAACATATATCAAAAATTACATCCTTCAATTTCTATTCTACTTTTAATTTTATTTTCTATTTGTTTAATTACACTGGAATGAATGAATATATATAAGAAACTAAATCTTCAGTGTGCATTGGTTGTGCCAGTTCGTAAAGTGGGAGCACAAAGATAAACTTTATAAAACGAATCAGCTTTTTGCTGGAAACCACATATAGGCTTGAGTTTTACAAGCAATCCATTTAATTTTGTCTATCTTTTTATTTTTCTTGCTCTCATAATGGAATTCTTCTGTGAATAAACTATCCCACTAGCCGGTTTTTATGAAGTTTAAGGTTAGTTTATAAATGCACACGGAAGCAATTCTTCAAAATACATTGATATGGGTATCAATATAATTCCATCCAATACAATCCTTGTTAATTGATTGATATTAGGGGCTTAAATTAAACATGTTATTATTGTAAACAATTAGAAGTATGATGTCAAGTTGTAGAAAAAAATCCATATTGAACACCCCAAATGGAGTACACATTTCTGAAGGGCAGTATAAATACACAACAAATTTGCCAAAGTTTACAATGACACAGAAAGTGTATTTTCATGCCCCTTTGTGTACTTTCAACCCAGATCCCATTTGGGATAAGAAATAGACTTAGATGGACCCCTGAGTTTGTTAGTATTGAAACAAATAAGAGGCAAAAACTGATATTTTAGACCATAAACCAAAAATTGGCCAGATCCAAAATAATGAGTATTTTGGTCATATATCATAAAACTTTGAAATTATTTAAACAAAATCAAATGGACATTATTCACCGGCTCCATCTGCATCTTTCTATACCAAGATTGACATGTGTTAAAGAATTTGTTTACCGCTCACTTTTTTTATTTTAAAATGCTGAATATCAATTGCTGCAAGGGTATTTATAAGCTAGAACTTCTAAAAAAATACTTCAAAAATCAATCATCCTTGATAAATATATCTATAAAATGTTAAACTTTACCTTGATTTTCTGTAATTTCCTCTTTTACATCTTCTCCCACTACAAATACAGTGCATGTATCCTCTACAGTAGAGATTTCTTCTTTAATGGTAACTTTATCTTTTTCCAGTATTTCTGCCATTTTCTCTGAAATATGTACATTGTACAATACCAGTTATATTTCAAAGCTAAATAGGCTATTAATAAATATGAATTAAAAGCTAGATTTGCAAACAAAGATTTCCACTGATTAAAATTAACTCTTTATATCTATATAGTTAGGTTGTCTGTCTGTTTGTATCCCATAAACGTCACAACGCCTACAAATTTGTTGTATGACCTTACATGACCGCAGGAAAGATTAACAATGATTTAAAGGAAGTAAGCGTCAAGAACAGGTTGTTAAATGTTTATGTTCAAGTATTGTAAAATAAAGAATGATGATTTATGTAATAAAACCAAAAATGCCCGGAAAGAAGGAGAAAGACTGAGGATAAAACAGCTGACTGTAACCAGGTCAGGTCACATCAGCTAGAAGGTGGGTATAACCGGCCCGGGAGGCAAGGATAGATGCTAAGAAACCACACGTGACGAGTTCAGAGTTTACCTTGTATGTGGTATATTAGGACAATTATACCTTGAACGTGGTATATTATGACAAGAATACCGTGCATGTAGTGAATTAGGACAACTATACATTAAATGGGGTATATTCGGACAAGCACACCCTTAATCCAGATTAAGCAGTTCCCAAACAATCAATACATAATAATTTTAAAGTAAAAGCAGTTGTGTATTTTTTTAGTCTGCTCTTATGGGGGTTGTAAAATACAATGAAAATAGGAATGAAAATAGTATGGAAAAAAGGGAAAAGGGAAGGAAAAAAGGAATAGGAAAAAGGAAAAAAGAAAGGGGAAAACAGAAAAAGGGAAAAAAGAATGGTTAAAGGGAAAAGGGAAAAAAGGAAGGGGAAAAGGAATGGGAAAAGGGAAAAAAGGAAGGGGAAAAGAGAAAAAGGGAAAAAGAATGGTTAAAGGGAAAAAGGGAAAAAGGGAAAAAAGTAGGGGATACTAGAGGTTTCCAAGATGTGAATCCAAAATTGGAAAAGGGACATGACATCTGTTGAAAAACCGCAGGCTATAAATATCTGTTAATATCATTGATTATTATTAATACTTTAAAATTTTGATATAAGATAAACAATGGATAATCTAAATTAATGAGAGACTTTTAAATTTGAAGTTTACAGTGCAGACCACTTTATGATCAGTCTGTTTCTTTTTTCATGTGTGTTTAGATGACAGGATTGGACGGCAGCGTATTTATGGTTATTTCTAATATGTTGTCTTAGATAGCCTTTTCGGGCAGAGGTGACATCACACAGGAATATGTTCATTCTTTATACTTTTATGTTTGATTAAAATATGTCTCCTCAAATTATTTTGAAAAGTAGCAGCGTATTCACAATGACTACAGGAATATCTCACTCCTTCATGTTTATTTTTAATATGTTTCTTCAGTTTACTTTGGTCAGTTGCAACGTATTCACACTGATCACAAGGATACCTTATTCCTTCATGTTTAGATTCAATATGAATCTTCAGACTACCTGCTGTAGTGGCAGCGTATTCACAATGAGAACATGGATATCTCACTCCTTCATGTTTAGACTCTATGTGTCTCTTTAGACGCTGTACACCAGTAGCAACGTAATCACACTGATTACAGGGATATCTCACTCCTTTGTGTTTAGATTCAATATGTTTCTTCAGATTTCCTGGGTCGGTTGCAGCATACACACAGTGGTCACAGGGATATCTCACTCCTTCATGTTTATTTTTAATATGTCTCCTCAGACTACTTTGGTCAGTTGCAGCATACATACACTGGCAACACGGATATCTAACTCCTTCATGTTTTTTTTCCATATGATTCTTCAGATTACCTGCTGTAGTGGCAGTGTAATCACAATGTGAACAAGAAAACCTCACTCCTTCGTGTTTAGATTTAATGTGTATCTTCAGACTACTGGATGTAGTGGCAGCGTATTCACATTGATCGCAAGGATATGTGACTCCTTCATGTTTAGATTGAATGTGTATCTTCAGACTACCTGCTTGAGTGGCAGCGTATTCACAAAGAGAACAAAGATATCTCACTCCTTCGTGTTTCATTCTATTATGTGTCTTCAACTGACTGGATTTCGTTGCCATAAAATCACATTTTCTACAGGGCAAATTTGTAAACCTTTTTTCTCTCAGTTTCCTCTTTTTAAGACTCTTTTGTTCAGAGAAAAGGGGATCTACTTCAATCTTGACAACTTCGCCTGAAAAATTCAAGAAGAGAATAAATAAAATATTAACCTCAAGTATCACAAATGGTTTTAAAGGGGGGGGGGGTCATAAGTTGTATTACTCCGGAAAAATTAAACAGTGTTTAAACATAACTTAGCAATGTCGTAGGACGCTGATTTTTTGCATGCGAACTCACTAATATGTATTGTAACTGCAAAATGCAATTTTAAATAGATCAGTGCAAATGTGTGCGAGCGCTTTTAGTTTAAAAAAATAAGATTTTCCTGAAAATTAAGAAAAAATATTAATAAATATATATCAATTCAAGTTGGGCCTAATTTAAAACAAAAGTAGCATGCAATATATCAAACTACAGGTAAATTTTGACACGGAATTCATTTCCGAGGTCAAAATTGACTTTGAAGCATTCTGACCGGCGCGCTAGTAGCCAGTGGTCATCTTACTATAAGTTTTACATGTCGAATATCAATTTTAGGTAATTGGGCACGAGGATTTCATTTCTTGGGTTAAAAAATCTTTTGACCACTCTGATTGGCTTGCTAGTAGCCTACCGTTAGGTTATAGGTCATCTTACAACAGATTTTTGCATGGTGTTTGTCACTTTTAGGTAATTGGGCCTAAGGATTCCAGTTTTTGGGTATAAACTTTCGCAAGACCATATGTAGTATGTCAATTCTAGGGTACTAGACACAAGGATTCTATTTCTTAGGTAAAAAAATAAAGTTTGATTACTCAGATCGGCGAGCTGCTGGCCAGAGGGTAACTATGGGGTCATCCTATCAAAGTTTTTCATGTTGTTTGTCATTTTATAGGTATTTAGACCCGAGAAATCCATCCCTGTTCTTAACACAAGTGTTTACAAACTGTGGTAACTCTAGAACCCTTGATAATATAAATGGATGGTACCAATACAAACGTCGAACCCACAAATGTCGGACATTACAAAGGTCAAGCAGTACAAACGTTGGATCTAAAAACGTTGGACTGGTACAAACTTTGGACTGATACAAACGCCGGACTAGTACAATTATTGGACCAGTACAGTAAGGACGGTCGGACTTTGGTTGAGTTTGAAAAAAAAACATTGCTATATGAAATAAATTAAAAGTCACTCGCTTATTGTAATAAAAATCAAAGACAGCTGAATAAAGTCGGAACCTTTGAAGGTAGCACTGAATAAAACAACAGACCAAAAAGGAGTTGAGTTCAATTGTCACAAACTCTGATGTTTCAATTTGCCTATATCTTTGCAACCCGATTTCGTATAACCTTTAATATTTCAAATCTATAAGATAAACAATTTGAAAGTATCAAAAATTAATACCATTACCAGGTTGGACAGGTATAGGGATGAGAATATTTGAGTAAGTGGCAAGAACTCAGTTTCTTTGGGTAGATTTTCATTAGACAAGTCAATAAAAGGAAATTTCTTTTTTTTAAATCTTAAAATTCAAATATTGTTTTTCCTTAGTCCGACGTTTACACTAGTCTGACGTTTGTATTAGTCTGACGTTTGTTCTGTCCGAGGTTTGTACTGTCCGTCGTTTGTAAGTCTTAGGTTTGTACCTTCCAATGTTTGCGGGTCTGACGTTTGTACTGGTACCAAATGGATCATTTTACTAATGTTTGTTTAGGTTGTTTATCAGGATTTTGGTATTAGACCAGAGGAGTCCTATTATATGGTTTATCCTATTCTAATAAACTTTCAATGTTCAGGATTTCTGAAATTCTGGAGAAGAATGTAGAAACCTTGTGATGAATGTGAAGAAGTTGGAGCAGAGAAAGATGAAACTGAACTTACACATGAAACCTCAAACTTTCTCCTACGTTTCTAAAACTTTTGAATCTCTATCTTTATATCAAGAAAACTATTGTCAAATTTCGCAATTCTAAAATTATGATTTTAATCTTGCCAAGCCAGGAGAAATCATGAGCTTTTTCATATAAATTCTCTATCTTATTGAGATTTTCTTTAGAAAGAAAGATTTTAACTTGGAAGAAAGATTTTAACCTAAATAGAATAATTTTAACTTTAAAGCTTATATATCGTCTTTTTCAGACAAAGAATGGGTTTATTATACATAATAGCCCAATTAAGTTTAAAGGGTGTAACTTACGAGGACAAACTTAAAGAACTTGGGATTCTTTCCCTAGTCGATAGAAGGTCCAGAGCTGACCTCATCCAGGTCTTTAAGATCCTGAAAGGTATCGACGATGTTGACAGCTCTACTTGGTTTACATTAGTTGGCCAGGAACCTCAAAGAGTAACCAGGAATACCAGCTACCATGGAAACCTTTTAGCAACCAGGTCAAAATCTGACATCAGACTTAACTTTTTCACAAACAGAGTTGTCTCCAGATGGAATGGGCTCCCAACAGACGTCAAGGACTCCAGAACTTTAAACATTTTTAAATCAAAACTTGACGAAATGTTCAAATAACTGGACCCCTATACTTGTGTTTTTGAGAAGTGTGCATGAATAGCTAAACGCAGACGAGAACCAGGCAGACCAGAACACTACTCTGGAGGACATGGACTGATATTCTTACCATACTCCTACCTGGAGTCCTTGGAATTACATCACAAGTAAACAATGTTATGTTAAAAAGAACTTGAGCTAAAGAACTTTAATATATGTAATGATGTTATATAATGGTGACACAGATTCTAGATTAAACATGTTCTCCCAAACAACAACCAATCCTACAATCTACCACCTACAATATCATCCTAAAAATCTTCATTCGTCGAGTGTATAAATTCGCTGGTGAATTATGTGAATTCATAATTAGACTTTGAACCTTGAACCAAACAATATTCACCAGATAGCATTGTGCACATGCAGTAAAATACCTTCAATTATGTATTCAGGACCGTCTCCATCCTGTTGTTCATATACTCCTCCGTCTGATAGATCTGAAGGATAGATTGTCTCCACCTGGTAAGGTCTTCTTATGTCGTTTTCCTCCTCCAGAACTGTTTTAGATTACTTTGGCTGTCTTCCACCATCGTGATCCTGCCTGTTTATGATCCTGAGCGTGTGAATAAGATTCCACCACCTTCGTTCTATAACTCGGAACACTTACAGGTCTGACCAAGCTGCCTCCGACTGGATAATGCTGATTTACGAGGACTTATGTTGGAATGTCATATGCTTTAGACATGTCCTGTTAAGGTGAGACTTGTCGACATAAGAAATAAGGGTCTTGATAAAAAGGATTTTAAACCTCGTCTTGTTTAGATTTCTCAAGATTGGAGAACAATTTCAAGGATGTCGTCTTCCCTTGGTTCTCTGATACTCTCCTTCACTGCTTTAAGGATTGAATCTAAAGGTATACTGCAACTACTGTACTAATAATTTGATACATCACCTAGAATTATCTTTTAGACTCGAAAAGACTTTGAATGAAGCATAAGATATCTCCTGTAAAACTGTAGCTCATATCAATACCCCAGCCCGAGCAACTCAGTGTTTTTACATATCAAACATTTTTATTTGAATGTTGCTCAGTCATTAAAAACTATATTTCTTTATTGAGACCTGGAGCAAATTTTGTGAAACATATACGTAGATATTTTGTTATATTTAATTTCAGTTCACAGTGCGAGAGCTGAAGTTGAAGATAAATCATATAAACAATAACACTCATGTATTAATGTGGTGCCCTGGTTATAAGGGAATATTCGCCCTGGATATGAGTTTGCTTTCATGTTTTTAAAGTCTCAACAACAACGTGACGAGTTCAGAGTTTACCGTGTATGTGGTATATTAGGACGATTATACCTTGAACGTGGTATATTATGACAAGAATACCGTGTATGTAGTGAATTAGGACAACTATACATTAAATGGGGTATATTCGGACAAGTATACCTTTTATGTGGTATATTAGGACGAAAATACCTTTATGTGGTATATTAGAACGAGTATACTATATATGTAGTAAATTAGGACGTGTATAACTTTTATATGGTATATTTGGTCGGTTATACATGTATATGGTATATTAGGACAAGTAGACCTTGTATGTGGTGTATTAATTAGGACAAGTATACCTTGTATGTGGTATAAAAGGACAAGTATAGCTTGTATGAGGTATGTTAGACGTGTATACCTTGTATGTGGTATATTAGGACAAGTATACCTTGTATCTCGTATATTAGGACAAATGTAACTTGTATGTGGTATGTTAGGGCAAGTATGCCTTGTATATGGTATATTAGGACGAGTATACATTGTATGTGGTGTATTAGGACAAATATACCTTTCATGTGGTATAAAAGGATGAGTATATCTTATGAGGTATATTAGACCTGTATACCTTGTATGCGGTATATTAGGACAAGTATACCTTGTATCTCATATATTAGGACGAATGTACCTTGTATGTGGTATGTTAGGGCTAGTATGCCTTGTTTTTGGTATATTAGGACAAGTACACCTTGTATGTGGAATATTAGGACTAGTATACCTTGTATGTGGTATAAAAGGACGAGTATATCTTGTATGAGGTATGTTAGACCTGTATACCTTGTATGTGGTATATTAGGACAAGTATAAGCTGCCTCGAGGAGCTAAACCTATCTGCATCCTTGGTCTCTGGGATGAAGATGCTCTTCTCTCCTCTCACCTACTAATCTTGACACACTGAGCCTTGGGTAGGTCATGATAGAAATCTATGTATACAAGACTCCGTTCTCAACAGAGTCTGAGGGCTCCTGTTTCTCTGGATGCTTAGTTTAAGTTCTCTACATCTACAAGACTCTGATCTCAGCAGAGCCCAAGTGTTCCTGTGTCTCTGGATGCTTAGTTTGAGTTCTCTACGTATACAAGACTCCGATCTCAATGGAGTCCGAGTGTTCCTGTTTCTCTGGACGCTTGGTCTGAGTTCTATGCTTCCTATGATAGTATCATAGAGACGCCTCCATCTCTACATATACCAGATCTCCGACAACCACAACTTGGTTGTTACTCTCCTCTCAGACAACTCCGACGGAAGGATTTCTGATCTCCGACAACCACAACTTGGTTGTTACTCTTCTCTCCGACACCTCCGACGGAAGGACTTCTACACTGTATCCCTGATCTAAGCTCCTACTCTAGATCAAATACAGGTACTAATCTTGATTACAATTCTTGTGATCTGTGTGAGAAAGTCATTACTTGAGAAGGATATTTGAAGACACAAATAAAGAAGGCTAGAATTCTATTTTATTGTAAAATTAATTAACCCTGGACTGATTTGTGTTTCAGTTCACGGTTGAGTACTGTATTAACTGCCTACCTGAAAAAAATACAAAAGAGTTGATCAGTGAAAATTGAGGTTAGCTGACGAGAAAGAGTTCATGCTCACTCTTATGTTTGAAGCAGATTACCTGGTCTCCTATAGGTAAAATTGAGCACATATACCTTGTATCTCGTATATTAGGACAAATGTACCTTGTATGTGGTATGTTAGGGCTAGTATGCCTTGTATATGGTATATTAGGATGAGTATATATTGTATGTGATGTACTAGGACAAGTATACCTTGTATGTGGTATAAAAGGACGAGTATATCTTGTATGAGGTATGTTAGACCTGTATACCTTGTATGTGGTATATTAGGACAAGTATACCTTGTATCTCATATATTAGGACGAATGTACCTTGCATGTGGTATGTTCGGGCTAGTATGCCTTGTATTTGGTATATTAGGACAAGTACACCTTGTATGTGGAATATTAGGACGAGTATACCTTGTATATTATATATTAGGACAATTATACCTTGAATGTGGTATATTAGGACAAGTATATCTTGAATGGGGTATATTATGACGAGTATACCTTGTAAATGGTGTAATAGAACAAGTATACCATGTATATAGTAAATTAGGGCGATTATACCTTTTATGTACTATATAAGGACGAGTATACCTTGTATGTGGTATATTAGGATGAGTATACCTTGTATGTGGTATATAAGGAGAAGCATAACTTGTTTATGGTATGTTAGGACAAATATACCTTGTATGTGGTTTTTAGGACTAGTTTACTTTGTATTTGGTACATAAGTTTGAGAATACCTTGTATATGGTATATAAGGACGAGTATACCTTGTATATGGTATAATAGGTGGAGTTTACTTTGTATATGGTATATTAGGTGGAGTTTACTTTGTATATGGTATATTAGGTGGAGTTTACTTTGTATATGGTATATTAGGTGGAGTTTACTTTGTATATGGTATATTAGGTGGAGTTTACACTGTATATGGTATATTAGGTGGAGTTTACTTTGTATATGGTATATTAGGTGGAGTTTACTTTGTATATGGTATATTAGGTGGAGTTTACACTGTATATGGTATATTAGGTGAAGTTTACTTTGTATATGGTATATTAGGTGGAGTTTACTTTGTATATGGTATATTAGGTGGAGTTTACTTTGTATATGGTATATTAGGTGGAGTTTACTTTGTATATGGTATATTAGGTGGAGTTATTTTGTATATGGTATATTAGGTGGAGTTTACTTTGTATATGGTATATTAGGTGGAGTTTACTTTGTATATGGTATATTAGGATGAGTATTTAGCGTCGGCTAAATAACAAACCAAGTCTGAAAAGTAACTAACTATATTTCTTTATAAAATACAAAATTTGAACTCTGGTCTAAAAGTAACCTGGTTTTTAAATCATAACTATAAATATCAGCTGCCAATGGGAGAAATAAACACCACAAGTATACCTTTTGTATGGTATATAAGGACGAGTATACCTTGTATTTGGAATATTAGGACTAGAACACCTTGTATATGGTATATCAGGACAAGAACAACTTGTATATGGTATAGTAGGACGAGTTTACTTTGTATGGGGCATATTAGGACGAGTTTACCTTGTATGTGGAATATTAGGACCAGTATACCTTGTATAATATACAATTTATACAATGTATATAGTATATATTAGGGCCGATCAGACTGGTCTGGCAAAAGTGTATACCTAAAAATTGGAATCCTCATGCCCAATTACCTATAAATCTATATACAACATGTAAAATCTGTTGAAAAATTACCCATAACGTAACGGTAAACAACTAGCGCACCAATCAGAATGGTCAAAAGAATTTTTAACCCAAGAAATAATGGAATTCTTGTGCCCAATTACCTATAAATTGATATCCGGCATGAAAAAATTATGGTAAAATTATCCATAATGTGACATCTGGCTACTAGAACGCCGGTCAGAATGCTCCAAAGTCAGTTTTGACCTTGGAAATTAAGTCTGTGTCACAATTTACCTGTAGTTTGATATATTGCATGCTACTTTTGTTTTGAATTAGGCCCAACTTGAATTAAAATATATTAATTTATATTTTTTCTTAACTGCGCGCGCTCGGGGACTTGAGGCTCTAAGAATTTTTTGTTTAATTGCTTCCTGATGCAATTTCAAGTTCATTTAACGGTGTAAAGCATGTGAAAATGTAAAAAAGTTAGTAGTAGAGTTCGCATTAAAAATATCAGCGTCCTCCTAGGACGCCACTAAGTTATGTTTAAACACTGTTTAATTTTTCCGGAGAGTAATACGACTTATGCACCCACNTTATGCACCCCCCTCTTTTTTAATTAAATCTTCAAATTAATGGGACTGTCCTCGAAATTTTAAGTGAACTTTCATGCCTGATTTTTGTCTTGAGAAACCACAAAGGAAAATAATCAGTAATTTAAAAAAATTAATGGATATTGCATTCATAATTGGTCAAAGCTTTATTACTTTAGGGTTTATTGAAAGTATGTTTACAAACAGTCCCTTTAATTAGTGAATAAACTATCCCCACTAGCCAGTTCTTATGAAATTCACTGAATTTGTTTATTTAGAAACAAATAAGAGGCAAAAACTGATATTTTAGTCGATGGACCAAAAATCAGTAATTTCCAAAAAAGTTCCAAAAAAATCAGTAATTTGGCCATATAAAAAAATTTTGAAATTATGAAAATAATAACAAATGGACATTTTTCACAGGCTTCAGATGTATCTTTCTACAACAAGATTGCATGTTTTAAAGGTTTTTTTGCCAGTAACTTTTTTATTTTGAAACGCTGAATATCAATTGTGGCAAGGTTTTTTAGATTTATCAGCTAAATACTTCAAAAATATATCTATAAAATGTTAAACTTAACCTTGATTTTCTGTACTTTCCTCTTTTACATCTTCTCCCACTACAAATACAGTAAATGTATCCTCTACAGTAGAGACTTCTTCTTTAATGGTAATTTTATCTTCTTCCAGTATTTCTGCCATTTTCTCTGAAATATGTACATTGTACAATACAAGTTATATTTCAAGCTAAATAGGCTTTGAATAATTATGAATTAAAAGCTAGATTTGCAAACAAAGATTTACACTAATTAAAATTAACTCTTTATCTATCTATGTAGTTAGCTTGTCTGTCTGTTTGTATCCAATAAACGTCACAACGCCTACAAATTTGTTGTATGGCCCTACGTGACCGCAGGAAAGATTAACAATGATTTAAAGGAAGTAAGTGTCAAGAAGACGTTGTTGAATGTTAATGTTCAAGTATTGTAAAATAAAGAATGATGATTTATGTAATAAAACCAAAAATGCCCGATGTAGCGTTAAATCTAGACCGGGCGTTATATTTGGTCCGGGTGAGTGTTACATGTGAAATCCATGTACAAAATTGATAGGAGGGGGAGAAGGAATTTGACATCTGTTAAAAAACCGCAGGCTAATATCTGTTAATATCATTGATTATTATTAACACTTTAAATGGATAATCAAAATTAATGAGACTTATAAAATTTGAAGTTTACAGTGCAGACCACTTTTTGATCAGTCTGTTTCTTTTTTCATGTGTGTTTAGATGACAGGATTGGACGGCAGCGTATTTACACTAGTCACAGTGATATCTTCATCCATTATGGTTATTTCTAATATGTTGTCTTAGATAGCCTTTTTAGACAGAGGCGACATCACACAGGAATATGTTCATTCTTTATCCTACTATGTTTGATTAAAATATGTCTCCTTAAATTACTTTGAACAGTAGCAGCGTATTCACAATGAGAACAAGGATATCTCACTCCTTCATGTTTATTTTCAACATGAATCTTAAGATTTCCTGAAGTACTGGCAGAGTACTCACACTTATTACATGGATAAACTTGTTTATACTTAGAAATACTCGGATACACTTCAATCTTGACAATTTCACCTGAAAAATTAAAAGAGAAAAAATAAAGTTTTAAACTTAAGTTTCTGTAAAAAAAGGATAAAAAACTTTCTTTTTCACGTTAATTTTTCTTTTTTCCCAGAGAAAAAATAAAGTTTAAACTCAAGTTTCTGTAAAAAAGGATGAGAAACTTTCTTTTTCACGTTAATTTTTCTTTTTTCCCAAAAGCATTATCAATTTCAAGGATAACCCTTTATAAGGGGAAGGAAGATTAATCCTTAAACTATAAAAAGTGGTCCATTATCTAAATATATAATACTTTGCTTGTTTGTTTTGTTCTATAAACGTAAAAACGGTTGAACCGATCGGATCCCAAAATTTATGGTGAGACCTTACATGATCCCAGGGAATGTGTAATGTTTATGGATGTTCAAAATATAAAAAAGAAGCCATAGACAAAATTTGATTTTTCAAAATTTAAGAAAAAAATCGGCAAATCACGATTTTTCTAATTAAATTAAACAATTAAAGAGAAAAAGCCGCTGATTAAGCAACAATATAAAATTAAATCCAAGATAGACACGAGGCGCCCTGGAACCTTCGTAAATATTTATATTTGTGAAATATTCAATTATACCTCGATTTTCTGAACTTTCCTCTTTATCTTCAATCACAACTTTAATAGAATCCTCTACTGTACAGATTTCATCTTTGATGGTAACTTTATCTTCTTCCATAATTTCTGGAATAAAATGCTATTTAAAACGAAAAGACGACACCGCCAAGTAAAGTAAATTATGATTTATAAATTTAAGACCAAAAATGTGCTGAAAGAAGGATAAAGACAAAGGGTCTGTAGCTATAGAGGGGCAATAGGAGAATTACACCCATTAAATAAGAAAGATGGGGTTCAGATATTAGCTTTCATTTTTAAAACTTTTTTGTTATCTTTGTTGTTGAATGTACACAAAAATACAAATGTTTCTTTTTATTAATATACATATTTATCCGAAGATTTTACAGATAATTAGTGAACAAAATATCTAAAACATTTTTGCACTTGACAACATTAATTTCAGACGAAAAAGACTTGTTTTATTAAAAAAGTATTAAAATTTTTCAACATATGAGACTTTCTCATGTTTCCTTTTAACATTAGCTTCCAGAAGGCCTGTTAAAGTTGCAGTATGTTCACACTCAGAGTGAGAAAATCTCCATATCATGTTTGTTTTTCACATGTTTCTTTAAATCACTTGCTCTAGTTGCAACATACTTACATTTTGAACAGGGAAAACAAACCCTGTCGTGCTTTTCTGAAATATGTCTTTTCAGATATCTTTCTGAATTTGCAACATACCCACATTTAGAGCATGGATATCTCACTCCTTCATGCTTATCTTTAACATGTCTCCCTAAATTGCTTCCTGTTGTAGCAACATACTCACAGTTTAAACAGGGATATGTAATTCCTTCATGTTTACTTTTAATATGGAGGTTCAGAGAACCTACCGAAGTTGCAGCATACTCACATTTAAGGCAAGGATATCTCACTTTTTCATGCTGGCTTTTGACGTGTACTTTTAAATCTCTTTTTCGAGTTCCAATATATTCACATTTCAAACATGGATATTTTACTCCTTCATGCTTGCTTTCAACATGAATTTTCAGACAACCTGCTGTAGTTGCAGCATGATCACACAGATTACATTGAAATCGCACTTTTTTATGTTTAATGTTAATATGAACGTTCAGAGTACCAGCTGCAGTTGCTGAATATTTACAATAAGAACAAGGATACTTAACCTTTCCGTGTTTCATTCTTATATGTGCGTTCAGGGCACTTGCTGTAATTGCAGTATATTCACAAGAAGAACAAGGATATCTCACTCCTTCGTGCTTACTTTCAACATGATACTTCAAACCATATGCAGAGGTTGCAGTATATATACATTTACAGCAAAGATAACTTGCTCCCTTGTGCTTTCTTTTAACATGACTCTTTAAAGCGCTTACGTTAGCTGCAGTGTACCTACATTGAGAACATATATATCTAATTCCATCGTGTTTACTTTCTACATGTCTCTTTAGGGTAATAGCTCTGCTTGTAATAAACTCACAATCAGAGCAATGATATCTCATTCCTTCGTGTTTACTTTCAACATGAATTTTCAGAAAATTTGCTGAAGTTGCAGTAAATTGACAATGAGCACATTGGATTCGCACTGCTCTATGTTCATTGTCAATATGAATCTTCAGAGCAGTTGATTTAGTTGCAGTATATTCACAACAAAAACACGGATAGCTCATGTCTTTGTGTTTACTTTTCACAGGAATCTTAACTCTTTTTGGTTCAGATTGTAGTGCTTCAATTCCTTGATCCACATTTTCTCCTGAGAAGTTAAAGCATTTTAAAAATTATTAATCTAAATCTTTAACTCTCGGTTCAAAACATGGATGAACTAACTCATCTAAATTATATTGCAGGAAAGATAATAAACTAAAGAATTTATTAAATTGATCATATTATCTAGCTATAAATATATTCCAACTAGATAAACAGAAAGTGCTGAACAATAAGATTGATTTCGGTGCCATCAAGTTCCTTTAAGTAATAAAAAATACATTTTTGAATTTTAAATGAACCCTTATTCATTTTAATGTAAGAGTTCACATTACCTGAATCAAGATGTTCATTTTCATCTTTAATGAAGAGCTCAGTATGCAAGGTTAGGTAAGGTAAGGTGTATTCAGTTTCCTGTATTCCAGTATTCAATACACCTAAACAAATATATACAGTATCCTGTATTCCAATATTCAATACATCTATAGCCTAATAACTTTCATACAAATTCTTAGTGATATTTTTAGTTGTGTACGAGATAAGCTGGCTAAGATATAAAATAGTTATTAACATCCGGCCTAATCAACTTTCTACGTGCTTTTTTAATCACATTAATATGTTATGAAATGTCCACATTGCACACCTGGAGCAAACTTTATTGGCTAATTTTACATGTTTATAACTTTACGAATCTTTTAATATTTTTAATAAACATGAATCTAATCGTGACTGATAATGTTTTTCAGTTTCACGGCTTAGAGATCTTATTCTTTAATCGCTACACCTGATATAAATAAGATTAAACAAGACTCTAGTGTATAAACAAGGTGCGCTGTTGAAAGATGAATGCCCATATTAATGTTAACAGCATGAATACATATGGATCTAAGGTATTGGTATTCTTGGTTCTATTCTAGACCTTGAAAATGGCACTGTGAAAAAAGAGATAACCCTGAAAACTTAAAGCGCTCTACACACATTTTACGCTAATCTTTAGCCAGCTTCAAGCACTCTCCTTGGGTTTGAAATTGAAAACTTTGCCAACAAAATGTCGACTTATTATTTTTGAAAAATCTATTAAATGCCGAGTACGATGAAAAATAAAAAATGCAAAGCACTATAGTTTGTAAGATCTATGGATCTTATCTTAATTCTTGATGTTCAGGTTGAATCCAGAAGTCATGATCTAAAGAAGCACACTTAGTCTAACTAGGAAACTTGCTCCTTCTATCTATATATAAATTTAGCTTGTCTGTATGTCTGTTTGTTTGTATCCAATAAAAGTCAAAACGGCTGAACCGATCGGGCCCAAATTTTGTGTGGGACCTCACGTGACCCCAGGGAAGGTTTATGAATGATCAAAATTTTAACAATTTGTATTTAAAAGTTTTTAATTTTTGTAAAATTTTGAAAATGCGCGAAAAAAATATTATGAAATCCGCAAACTTTTTTGTTTTTGTTTTATGGTGTACAAAGAGAAAATTTGTTCACAAGTTGAAATAGAAGATGGGCGCGAAGCGCCCTATAAGCCTAGTTTATTCATATTTTACTCTAAATTATAACTGAGATTCTTATTTAAATAACTGCCGAATTTTATGCAATTATACATTGCCCATGTAAAAATATTATGGCTCATACCTTTTTATCTTCAAGCTTAAAACGCTTTTTTACGGTTTAATAATACTGAATATTTATAAAAAAAAACTTTACCATTGAAAAATGTTAAATGGTCTATATATTTCAGACCACAATGGGCTAAGATAGCTGCGTTATCCTGTCTTAGTACTCCAGATTGTGCAATACTGGGTTTATAAAACATCTTATTTAAATGTAAATACTGCCTAAACTATTCCCCGGAATTAAACTCTTAAAACTTATGGATGTTATATAAAGTGAATCCAGATCGTTCTTGTATTCCGAAACCTGACCTGAACTATAAACTAATGAATTAACAGGTGAACATACGTTTTTAAAAAAAAAATCTTAACACGCTGTTTTATGGTCTAATAATACTGATTATTTATAAAAAAATCTTTACCATTGAAAAATGTTAAATGATCTTTATATTTTAGACCACAATGGGCTAAGATACCTGCGTTATCCTGTCTTAGTACTCCAGATTGTGCAATTCTGGGTTTAAAAAACATCTAATTTAAATGTAAATATTGCCTCAACTATTCACCGGAATTAAACTCTTTAAACTTATGGATGTTATATAAAGTGAATCCAGATCGTTCTTGTATTCCGAAACCTGACCTGAACTATAAACTAATGAATTAACAGGTGAAAATACGTTTTTACATAACATAGAACTTTTGAAGCTTATTCGAGACTAATTACTACTCTTATCTCTTAGAACAAGTCCTCTTTTGATCTACCCTCGCCGTACTCCTGGACAAGGATGAGCAGTCTAACGAGAATTCAATGGAGCAGATTCACCCATACAAGCTGCGGATTACCTGACCGCAGAGGGAAGCATGATAAACCTGTCGAGCTGAACCGAACTACCTGCAGAGCATCTTCCTGCTGGGCACAATCGTCTTCACCTCCTACTTGGAGAAGTCCCATCGGAAGCATCTCCTCTGCTTCTCTTAACCGGGACTGCTGCTATTGAGCAGATAAAGGTGAAGAATAAATATGAAGCTGCTCTCAAGATTGAGCCCTAATGTCTAACTTAACCTTATTTAGATCCAATCATCATCTTCACTACCTCCTACTTGGAGAAGTCCCGTCGGAAGCATCTCCTCTGCTTCTCTAAACCGGGACTGCTGCTGTTGGGCAGATAAAGGTATATAATCAAGTTTTGTATGATCAATGTGAACAATTAATGACGAAAATGTGGCAATCTCCTTTATCACATGATAAGCCTTCATATAAACTCATCTTGTTATTTCTATTTGTGTACAAGAGACAGCTTGTAAAGATCATCCAACTCAAGAGCTATTAAATTCTCCGGCCTAATCAACTTTGTAAGTGTTAGTTTAATTCATATATAAAATCATCTTCTTCACCACCTCCTACTTGGAGAAGTCCCGTCGGAAGCATCTCCTCTGCTTCTCTAAACCGGGACTGCTGCTGCTATTGAGCAGATAAAGGTATATTATCAAGTTTCGTGTGATCAGTGTGAACAATTAATGATGAAAATGTGACAATCTCCTTTATCACATGATAAGCCTTCATATAAACTCATCTTGTTATTTCTAGTTGTGTACAAGAGACAGCTGGTAAAGATCATCCAACTCAAGAGCTATTAAATTCTCCGGCCTAGTCAACTTTGTGTTAGTTTAATTCATATATATTATTACAACTTACTCACATTTAGCACACCTGGAGCAAATTTTGATGTAAACTTGGCTAATTTTATACACATAAATCATTTTAATAATAATTTAATACTTATTTAACCCGTGACTGGAGTAATGTTTTTCAGTTCATGGGTCTGAGCTTTGTATCGCTACAGCAGAAATAAACAATATAAGAGACTAATGTGTATTAAAGAGGTGCACAAGGAGAACTGATGTTGTCCCATCATGTTTATAGTTGAATAATACTTGTGGATCTAGGTATCGTATTCTGGGAATATGCTAAAATTCCCGAAACGGGCACATAGTTGAGGTAAATTTTTTTTATATTTTAAGGTTTACCTTTTATTTCTGCATCCTCTAAAGTAAATGTATCCCCTGTACATGTATCCCCTAAAGAACAAATATCCTCTTCAGTACAATCAGCCTCTACAGTACATGTATCCTCTACAGTACGTGAATCATCTATTGTACATTTATCCTCTTCAGTAGAGGATGAACAAATTTCTTCCTTGATATAAACTATCTCTACTTTTGTCTCAAAATCATCGATATTTGATTCTTCTTTAAATATTTCCGTCATTATGTCTGAAAAATAAATTTAGAGTGACACAATGTACAAAAAAGCGGATTTAAACAGGAACATATAAATTTGAGAAAAAATCTATATTTAACAATAGGAACAAAAGCTTTATTACATAAAACACACATAACTTTTGAGACGCAGGATTGAAACCTATTTACTAATAAAAAAGGTTGGTCAGAAAAAGGGTATTTCATTTCAATTCATTTGCTTTAGATTTGTCTCTTTAGATTCCTTGCTGTAGTTTCAGCTTCTTCGAATTAATCACGTGGATAAAGATCTTCAGGATTGTTTTCACTTTTCACTTCACTTTCGATAGTGACATGTTTCTTCTCAAAGTGTTTCTTGAGATCTCTTGCAGTAGTTGCACGGTACACACATTTAGAGCAAGGATATCTAACTCCTTCATGTTTGATCTTAACATGATTCTTCAAATTCCCAGCAGTAGTAGCAATATGCTCACATTGGAAACAGGGGTATCTCACACCTTTGTGTTTACTTTCAACGTGAATTTTCAGATTACTTGAAGTCGTTGCGCCAAAATCACATTCCGTACAAGAATATCTAACTCCTTCATGTTTACTTTTAACATGAGCTCTCAGAGACCATGCCGTAGTTGCAGCATATCCACATTCTAGACATGGATATCGCACTCCATCGTGTATACTTTCAACGTGAATCTTCAGATGGCCTACTGTAGATGCAGCATAATCGCATTGAGAGCAAGGATATTTCACTCCTTCATGGATACTCTCAACATGTACTTTCAAATACCTTGCAGTAGTTGCAGAATACTCGCATTTTAAACAAGGGTATCTCACTCCTTTATGTTTATTTTGAATATGAATCTTCAGATCACTTGGCGTAGTTGCAGAATGTTCACACTCCGGACAAGGATATCTTACTCCTTCGTGAATACTTTCAACGTGTCTTTTCAGATTTCTTGCGGTAGCTGCAGCATGGTTACACTGAGAACAAGGATATCTTATTCCTTCATGCTTATATTCAACATGTCTCTTTAGATGACTTCCCTGAGTTGCAATATACTCACATTCATTACAAGGATATCCCACTTTATTTATCTTCCTTCTCTTTGGTTTAGGTTGCAGATGATCATATTCGTAGTCCATGCATTCTTCTATAAAAAAAGATAAATTAAATGGGAAACATTTGTTTCGTTTTTGAATTTAAGAAATCGATGCATGAGGAGGCAATGAAAAATAACAAGTCAAAAGGCAACTTTCTTCATCTTATGTGAAAATCCCCCCCCACCACAATTGTTCATTTTCCGCCATTTAGCGAAAGAAAAAATTTTGGAGGAAATAATAACTTCCCTAGAAAATGAACAACCCTGTGAAAGTACCTATCTGAAAAAAAATTCAAAGTTATGTTTATACACTGTTTAAATTTTCCTGAGAGTAAAACGCTTTGTCCCCCCACCCCTTATTTAACATAACCTAGAAAGGACAAGTCCCCGAAAGGGATTGAAAAAAACATGGAGAACGTTGCCGATATTTTCAGAGATGAGTGAGTGAGGGAGTAGTACTCAAGCTATGTAAATAAGTTTGATATTTAGACATAAACCATCATCCAATGATTAAACGGAAGAAACGTTCTTTTGGTGAAAATTTTTTGAGTAGTTCATATTTTGTAAAATGGAAATATTTTGTGACAGGAAACATTTTTTAAAGGAAATATAAGATAAATTATACTTTTTGTTAAAGGTTACATCAAGTTTTGCAGCAGGAAATGTTTTGTGGTGGAAATGTAATGTAAGGAAACTGGCAGGAAACATATTGTTGAGAAAACATTCTGTGTAGGAAATGTTTTGTGAAAGGAAACATTTTGTGGTGGAAATGTTAAGTAAAGGAAACATTTTATGTAGAAAAATGTTTTGTGGCAGGAAACGTTGTGATGAAAATGTTTTGTTAGAAAACAATTTGTGGGGAAACATTTCATGCTGAAACCTTTCATGCTGAAACCTTTTGTGGGGGAACGTTTTGTAAATGCTCCGTTTTAAAGTCTGTTTATAGCAATAGATTTTTAAGATTATGTACATTACAAAAAATCTGAAACGCTTAAACTATTTCAAAATTGTATACCTAATAAGTTTATTTATTATTTTGCTATTATTATTATTTTGCAAATTTTCACTTTGATCCAGTAAATTATGTAAAAGAAATGTTAAAATCGTTCTGATGAATCGGTTTGATAAATAGTTATTGGTAATATTTTAGGTCAGAGAAAAATTGATGTAAAAACACAAACTTATCAAAAATCGATTTTGCGATGTGTTCATAGATCCTTTCGGAGCATTAGTTAAGTCAAAAAAGAACTAGCATGTTTAAAAACGAACCTAGAAAACTGACTATCCCTTAGGGTGACCCATTTTGCTGTCTCATTTCCCACAAAAAACCTAACAGTCTATTATTGTTCTCTTTAATGTTAGTTATCACAGGATTTTTTTTCTTTTTGATCTAGGTCAATGGGAAGTGGTCATATAAGGCCCGTGCAGATTACAAAAAAGATAAATTTTCTCAAAAAAATATGTCTTAAATTTGTCATGTCATTCATCATTTTCTTTATAATTGTCCAAAAAGATTAAATCCGTTGAAATTTTTGAAAAATTTCCATAATTGACCGAGTTAGGGAAAAAAAACCGTCAAAATGCTTGTTTTAGGAAAAGTACATTTTTTTGAAGTTTTTTATACCGAACTCAGTCAATTCTTGAAATTTTTTAATAAGAATAATTTAATCTTTTTGGACGATTTCAAAGAAAATTATATCTGACATAATATAATTTCGAGAAATATTTTTTTGAGAAAGTTGATCTTTTTTTACGATCTGCATGGGCCACTTCCCACTGACCTAGATCAAAAAAAATCCTGTGATAACTAAGATATACGGTACATGTATCCTCTAGAGTAATTTTATTCTCTACAGAACTTGTATCTTCTGCAGCACTTGTATCGTCAAGTCTACTTGTATCATCTTCAGTACGTTTATCATCTTCAGTACGTGTATCATCTTCAGTGCAAGTATCCTCAAAAGTACTTGTATCCTCTACATTAGTTGTATCCAATTCAGTACTTGTATCCTCTACAGTACATGTATCCTGTACAGTACATGTATCCTGTACAGCGCATGTATCCTGTACAGTGCATGTATCCTGTACAGTACATGTATCCTCTTCAGTACATGTATCATCTTCAGTACATGCATCCTCTTCAGTACATGTATCCTCTTCAGTACATGTATTTTCTACAGTACTTAATTCCAATTCAGTACATGTATCCTCAACGGTACTTGTATCCTCTACACCTTCTTTTACATCTTCTTCCTTGGCATTTTTATCTTTCAGATATATTGTACATGTATCCTCTACAGTACATGTTTTCTCTGCAGTACATTTATTCTCTTCAGGACGTGAATCAACAGCAGAAATGTCTTCCTTCATGAACACTTTTTTTTCAATTATGTTCTCTGCCATTTTGTCTGAAAAATTTCAAGAATATTATTGAGAGATTTGAAATAAATTAAGAATACAATTTGACGTCCCTGAAGTAAGATTGCATTTTACGTGAATATAAAAAAAATTGAAAGGCGAGCGCAATTATGCAGACACACAAATAATGAGGCAGTAACAAGGCAAATTATGACCCACTCCTGAGATCGCGAATGGAAATAATCACCATTAATAAAAAAAAATCGTATAAAAGCTTGCTCAAATGCATACCCTGGGCGGAAATAAAAAACATAATAATTACTTAAACCTTCTTTAAATAAATTGTTTCTTTGCTTTTATCTCGTGGTTGTTTGTTTGTATTCAAAAAACGTTTTCAGATCATAGGGAAGATTTGTTTCCAGTCACAAAACAAGACTCCATGAATTAAAGATTTTTTGTAACTAGAAAGCAACGTTTGTAAAGTCTAGTCGTTAAAATGTTTTAGAACATTTTTCAACGTTTTAGCTTTTTGAATGTTTCGTTTTCACATGCTTATTCAAATAACTTGCTGTACTTACAGCATAATCACATTTATTGCAAGGATATCTCACTTCATCATGCATATTTTCAATATGTCTTTATAGAGCACTTGGTGTAGGTGCCGCACACAAACATTTAGTACAGGGATATTTGAATCCTTTATGTTTGTATTCAATGTGTCTATTTAGGCCATCTATTCTAGTTGCAGCATCCTCACATAAAGACCATTGATATCTACTTACTGAAATAACTCTTTCATCGTGTTTATTTTCACCATGTTTTCTCAGATGACTGATGACTGTAGTTAAGCATGATCACATTTAGAGCAATGGTATTTCAATCCTTAATGTTTACTTTTGACATGAACCTTCAGGGAGCTTGGTGTAGTTGCTGCATACTCACACTTAGAACACGATGTCTGATACCTTCGTGCTTGCTCTTAAGGTGTTTTCAGATAGGCTTATTCTTTGCGGAATACTCGCATTTAGAACAGGGATAGATCCCTTTCCTTCTCTTGATGCTCTTTAGTTCAGATTGCAGAGGACAAAATCCGTCATTCACGTTTTCTCCTGAAAAGTTTACGATTAAATATTATTTGATATTATTTGTCAAGTTTTTAAGTACTAAAATTTGCACGGATTGAAAGAACTTATCCGATAAAGATTTACCTTGTTAAAGAGACTGTAAACATAATTTCAATTGACTTTTGAATTATGCGGCCCGTCCTAATTGCAACATTACCCTTAACATCTTAATCTGAGCAAAACTAAAGAAGATATCGTCGTTTTTCCTTCGAACCCTGTTGCATATTTTTGCCAGTCAATATTTTAAAAAGAACTGCAATACAACATGATCAATTTTAAGAAAAAGGATTATGTATACTCAAACAACGGTTTAAAGGAGAATTTCAAACGACCCTCCATGCAAAAATGACGATGCGCGATTCACAACGGTACCCTTGAAACATTCTGAGCAGCAATTTGGGCGTGCCCGGCATTGTGTGGAATTAATCTTAAATCGAATTTTGAAGAAAAAAAATCGAATTTGAGTTCCATCTAAAAATTAGTATTGTACGTTCCAATAATTTCTCTACGTTTCACTTTTGAAGAGAAACCACAGCTTAAAATAATGAGTTAATAAAATCAAAGACACTGATATGTAATTAATACTTTATCTGACAACACAATGGTTGTATTTGAAGTTACACTTACAGTCCTTTTCAGATAATAACTTAAAAGTGTTTGCATTGGATATTAATTTCTGTCGCTGAAGCTTACAAAAATTGAGCTCATTGATCGAGAATATTCAAACTTTTTAAAAAATAAGTAAAACATTATTTAAAGAAATCGCCCCCTCCCCCCCGTTAATAAATTGAAATTTTCTCACAGAATATGTTTTAAATTTATACTTTGAAAACTCAGGATTTACAGTTTGAAATAAAAAACTTACTTTTTATTTCTATTAATCTTGATGTCCTCTTCCTGTACATATCTTCTAAAGTAGGACCTGCAGGATTTTCTTCTTTGATGTAAACCGTTTCATTATCTTCCAATTTTATATACTTTGTAACAATTGACGAGTTACGGTATTTTATATATGCTGCAGTCCTTTACATGAACTGATGAGAGATAGGATTTGTTCGCTAATTCTTACATTACATTAGGAAAATATTTGATTTTGAAGATGGAGGTTAGGGGGGAGTTATTTTTTTGACAAAATGCTTAACCCTCGCAAGACTTGCCTTTAATTTCCATGTTTTCCATCTTTTTCCTGCACACATTCAGTATTTTTTTCCCCATCAACGAAATTTTCTCGAACTGAAAACTTTTTAATAACGTTTTATCTTCCAATAATTTTTCCCGATTCGTAATCCATGTAATATCTTAAAAGCAAAAATATTAATTTTTAAGTGGCATCATCATACAAATTTAAAAACAAATAAAAATCTTAATATAAAATATTTTATTGAATACAACATACGTTTAGTAAATGTTTTTGAACACGAGTATAAAACTGCTGTAAATGTTTTCAATGATTCTCAAATTGTAATTTGTGCCGAACATGGTAAAACAAAGGTGTGCAAAACGGTATCGTTTTTTGGTTCGTTTTATGATGAATTTGCAAAGTTTAAAAAACGCAAATTTTAACCAATTACATATGGTTTAGAAGTGGAAGTTGTATTTAAGTTTTAAAAAGAAATCAAAAACGAAAAATATTAAACTATAAACTATGGATTTTTCTGTTGCAGTGTATGTAGTACATAGCGATCACTGAATACAGTCGACCGGTGTTTACTAAGATCAGCTGATTGTAAAGTTTAAACCTCAGTCGGTCGGTTTCTCCCAGATCTGTTGAGAAAGTATCATATTTCTGGACGCCTATTGGTTGAAAGTTTTTATCTGAACTCCTCTGATTGGCCAGAAATCTGTTTTATCTCTTCTCTGATTGGTCCAAAACTTGTCTGCTAAGGGAGATTTCATATTTGTATCGCAATTTTTTATCTGTATGTATAATCTGTACCTATGCAAACATGTCGTCGATAAGCTTTGAAATATGACGTGCGTAGCGCCATTTAACGACATTTATTGTATTAATATAATTTTACAATTATCAACGTTTAGCAAGTCTAGTTTTCTTAAGAAAAATGACTGATCTTGTATGCGGAAAGTTTCAGTTGACTGAAAGTAAGAACTTTGAAGAATTTATGCAGGTAGCTATACGACTTTTATTATTATTAAGTAATAGTATCAGGGGCATTTAAAGGAGTAAGTCCAGAGTTCACTAGGACAGACCCAAATTTTGTCGATAGTGCCTTCAATAAAGAGATTGAATTATTGGCAAGTTTTTCATTATTTTTGATGATTTTCCCCCCTGAAAAGTATTCATTTTCCCCAATTATGCAAAAAAACCCTTAAAAAATATACCTCACTTTCTGGGGGGGATTTTTTTTCAAAAAATTTACGCCCCTGCACTGTATTAAGGCGCTTGGAGTCGGATACCTGACAAGAAAGCTTGGAAACAAATCTTTTCCAGTTGTTACCGTCTCAAAGGTAAAGAATACAGGGTTAACCCATAAATCATGAGACTAAAAAGACGAACTGACGATTCCAAGATTATAAATTAGGTCTTCTGCCTTAACTATTGCCATTTTATTGATTGTGAGATAGAAGTTTACAGTTGCAGGGAATCATAAATTTTTAAGGAACCAGACAGAGTAGATTTCCTAAAGTTCTCTGACAGGGGCGTATACAGCGGGGGGTAGGACCTTTGAACCCCCCTGATATTTCAGAATAGCTCCTCAATAGCACCTAGTGCAAAACAGGAAAAATATCTATCGTTTTTTGGATCCTAAATCTGGATTTTTTGGTTCAGAAATAAATCTTGCACCCCCCTCACTTTAATCCTGGATCCGCACCTGGTCTCTGCAGTTGGTAACTCAGTATATTATCGATATATTAGCCTGAATGGACTGTCCATGATATTATAAGTTATTCATTAGTTAAAAAATATCATAAACTAGCCGAAGTGCCCGGAGTTGCCCGTAGAATTTTTTAAATAGAATTTTGAAGAAAATAAATTGTTTTTGAAAAAAAATCGATTTTTAAAAGAAAAAAGTTTCGATTTTCTAAATTCAATTTTAGTCTATTATATTGATTATATTGATTTTTAAAGTACCTGACACTTTTATTATAAATTTTAAGTATTTTCATTAAATGGTAATGTGTTGGTACTTTCGATTAAATACTTTGTCTTTTTATTAGGATTTTAAATTTTAAAGCATATTAAGATCCCGTTTATACTTTATTAAAAAGCAATTCAATGACTGGACAATGGACATGACTAGATTTTTTATCCCATATGATAATAGATACACAAATTTACAAATTTTTAAAATGCAATTTTCAACAGAAAAGGAATATTGACTCTGTATTTCCCGAAGCACAAAAATTCTAAAAAATTGCCGAATCTCTCAACTGTTTTGTGTAAATCTTGAAAATTAGACAGTCAATTAGGGTGGAAATCCAACATAAAAAAAGTTTTCATATTATTTCGAAATTTAAAATTTTTTTTTGAAGTTTAGACACCTCCATGACATTTTAAATTCTTGACGTAAGAGAACAAGTTAGAACAGAAGAAAATACCGAGTAATGCTATTGACAACTAAGCTTAAGCTTAACTCAAGCTTTAACCAAGATTCTCAACAAACTCTAAAACTTGACTTTCGCGGTCAACGCAATATACAATATACAACCTATCCAGGTTAAATATTAATCTACACTCTCTAGTTTGAGTCTAACCAGTCTAGATAAGCTAGATAGTGATAACAAAACATAACTTTAAATGTGATAACTGTTAAGGGTGCAAAGATATACATAGTTTGGATAATTACAGTATTTATTACAATAAAAAGAAAAGGTAAATTTCAATTTTTGTAGGACGGAGATTTGTTTCATTTCAAGAATGAGTCCTTGGTGAA